GGGGGTGGGGGCGGCGGCTAGGGTTTGGCTGGAGGCTCTGATACCAAGAAGAAAATAGATAAAAACCCTAATCTTATTGTCGAGATAACTTAGGCTTATATAGGCCCCTACAAACTCAACTTACAAATAACCACCTAAATATATTAATATGTCAACAGGAACCATGAACAAAGAAGCCATGAACCTTTAAAAATATGGAGAGCATAGAGTCCAATAAGCATGTCATCCGTTGAAATATTAAAATGTTATATAGTCACAGATTAAAATGCAAATGCAGATGGAAAATGGTAATCTGAAATAGAAAGTCTGGGTTAAGACTTACTGGATTTAGATTTTGGTTGAAAAGGGATGTCAACCATATTTGAGGTCTACTACCATCGTGGACCTATTTTGCCAACTATGTTCAAAACTTAGACTGTAGCCAGTGCAGATCAATACCTCATATGAAATTTGGTAGTTGCATAGGTTGCAATAAATATGTGTAGAAGTTCTTGGTGCTGGTGGTCATTGTCTGATAGTGACAAGGGAGAACCAATTGATGGTTGGTGCTAGGTTTGCTCACCAAGATTTCCATCCAAACATCAATTAGTTGTGAAAGAATATTATTTGCTCTAGGAGCCAACACTCAAGAAGCTTTTTTATTGGGCGCTTGCTCCTTTGCTGATGTTACTGTTACGTTGAGATAACAGGATTTGGGTATTTGTAACTTTTGTTCGAGAAGTTACTTTAATATCAAGAAGCTAACCGTCAAATGAACGTTTAAGTCCATACATCATAATCTCTATTTTATGTCCAGATCTCAAATGAGTCAATGACAGAACAATTTTTGTTGGAATATTTTGTTTGAATGCAGAATTTTTAGACTTTACAGTTTACATTCATGACTTGCTATGATTTGAAAGATTCTTTTCCAGACTATTCATTTCTTCTTCCGTCCAGCAGAGTATGCTGGGGCAACATATAAATGGATACACACTTCTGCCCCAGATTATCATAAACTACTAGATATTTTTGAGGTGCAAACACAGATCATAGAGATATAACTGTTCTCTGGTAGTGTTTTTACCATTATATTTTAGTGCCTTTCTTTGTCTTCCTGCATCTTATAATCTTGGCTAGATTTCTTGTTTGAAAGCTGCTGAAGTTCCTCTGCTGTGCTGTAATCTTGGATGATAATTAATATATTGTACACCTTATTTATGCATGAACAGGAAGTTGTGTAGACATGTTTCTATTATGTTTATTGTTTTCTAATATGAATACCTTATAGTATTAAGCATCTTTGGAAACTCATGCAGGCTGCTAGTGAAGCTGGTGCATTACGTGAGGTGAAAAATAAACTAGAAAATGACTTGGAAGATCTTACTTTACGATTGACTTTGGAAAAAAGATTGCGGGTATATATTATGTTCTTACAGACATCTACTTTATTTGATTTCAACGATTTTCATGCTTCAGGCTTCTTCTTTTTAATTGTGTTCTATCCTTTTGCTTGTTCTAATAGTAACAATTTCTGTTTATGTTCCAATAGTAACAATTTCTGTTTATGTTCCTTGCACTTATTTAATTGTTGTGGTTATGGATTTTATTAAACTAAGCGTCCAACACAAATCAAAGAAGAACTGTACTAGAGCTGAAGTAACTGTTCCTTTTACAGCCTACAATTTTATTTTTTTATAGCCTGAAACATCATTTTCTTATTCTTTTACGCTGGGCCAGAAAGCTTTATTTCCTTGCACAACCTGAACTTTCATATTTCTTATCCTTTTACACGGTAAATTCTAACATTATTAAATTAATAATGCATAAACAAGGGCCG